AGACCAGGTTGGCCTCCAACTCACAGAGATCCACCTGCCTCTACCTCCGAGTGCTAGAATTAAAGGTGTGCGCGCCGCCACCACCATCACCATCACCTGGCTCCATCTTTTTTTTTTTTTTAAAGTTAGTTTTGCTATGTTGCCCAGGCTGGCTTGTGACAGTGCTGATAATTGAACCTCAGGCCATGTGAATGCTGGCTATACCACCCAGCTCTACACCTAACCTGCCCTACTGGTCCTGAACTGGAGATCTGATCCTCTTGCTTCAGATTCCACGTGCTGAGATCACAGGTTTTTTTTTTTTTTTTTGGTTTTTCGAGACAGGGTTTCTCTGCGTAGCTTTGCGCCTTTCCTGAAGCTCACTTGGTAGCCCAGGCTGGCCTCGAACTCACAGAGATCCGCCTGGCTCTGCCTCCCGAGTGCTGGGATTAAAGGCGTGCGCCACCACCACCCGGCGAGATCACAGGTTTATACCACTACACCCTGCTAATTTTCTGTTTCAGTGATGGGGATGCTGACCGCATGCTAGACACCCCTTATCTGTCTTCTACTTCCTACTTCTCTGCCTGCTTCCGGCTACTCAAGACCCCAGACTCTTCCTGGGGGACCTGTAAAGAAGGTGTTGCCAGCGTGGGGTGGTCTTGAGAGACTGCTTTGGGGTAGAGCTGCCTTATCACCACTACCACCCCTGCCCTAAGCAGGTCCATCAGTTCCTTCCTGATGCTAGCCCCTAGCCCAAGGAGTCTAGCCTAGTCTCGAGGCCTGTGATGTCTGACTGTTCTTGTGGGTTCCATGGAGATTCATCCCTGCCTCCCAGGCAAGACGGGCCATAAAGACTGGCAAAGAAAAGAAAAGGAAAAAAAAAAAAAAAAAAAGACAAAGACCTCCAAAACCAGCTGGGAATGGCTTGATGATTCAGGGCTCACTCAGGGAAGCATGTGGAAGAGGACCTCCAGTGCCTTCCTCTACGGCTTTTCACCGTATTTCCTTAAGGCAGTCTCACTGGCCCTGACTAGGTAGCTAGCAAGACCAGACTCTACCTGTTTCTCCCCTCCCCCCCCCCCCCCCCCCCCCCCCCCCCCCCCCGCTCCTGGGGTTACAGACTCACACAGCTACGCCCAGCTTTTGCATGGTGCTGGGCTTTCAAACTCAGGCCCTCGTGCTTACACAGCAAGCTCTCCTACCCACTGAGCCGTCTCCCAGCCCCCAAGTCTTGTATTTATTATTCATCTGTAACAGATCGGGAGGCCCTAGGGGTCTCACCTATCCATTGCTCCCCGAACATCTGTCCCTCCTCTGCCTCCAAGGGGGTTAGGCTTTCCATTTTCCCTGCAACTACCAATCAGGTCATAAAGCAGCTGTAGGTAGGTGGGAAGGCCAGTGGCTGGGGGCTGCCAGTGAGGGGGGACATGCCTCTTCCTACCCCTCTCTCCACCTTTCTTCCTCTTTTCCTCAGGATAACATTGCCACAGGGCAGACTGGGAGCAATAACAGCTCTGGCCCACAGAATACCCATCTTACTAATGGGGCCAACCCTCGGGCCTGAAGAGGCTCTGGACTAGTGACTGGAGGCTGGCCAGATACTATAGGTAGGTTTGCTTGTTGGAATTTAGGGTACAGCTCAGTTTAGACTTTGTTTAGCAAGCTAGAGGTCCTGGCTCTGTCCCTAGCACCACAGGAATACAGAGTCGGGCTTGCAGGCTGGGTCTGGTCTGCTGTAGAAGGACATGTAGGCGGGTGGGTGCCCATGCATATATCAGCTGGCCTGAACTCAGCTCAGCTTTCTTGCTGTCTGTACCAAGACACTGGCTTTCAGGGTGGGCATTTCTGGTGTGGTATCTAAGAGAGGGGTTTGATCTCCACTCTTCAGCCAGGGTCACTAGCAAGTCCTTAGCCCCTCTGAACCTTACCTTTAGTTTTAGTTATAAAAGGGACACGGTCGGTGGCCAGGCCCCCCTCCTAGAGTCTTTGGCAGAAGGGCAGTGCCCGAGGCGCAACCTTGACAGCCTTCAGCACAGGTTCATGGCTGTGCTGATGCCTTGTGGCTGGGACCACTGCTCTGTCAGAGGAAGTTATCCAGACTCTAAGCACCATCCAGTTCCACAAAGATCTTGAGATCTGGTCTCGTTGGGCCTGATGTGTTCTTCTCTCCAGTGTCTGGAGTAACCAGTGGTTACAAGGTTGGAGTATTCATGCCCCTAGGGCCAAAGAGGGTTGCTCTGGCTTCCCATCAGCTGCCTGCCAGATTCTGCCAGAATGGCTGAGGGAAAGTCTTGGCAAGTTCCCAGGAGAAGGGGGAGGGAAAGAAGCTGGGGCAAGATTCCCTTTCCCAACCCTTACTGCTGTTAGTCCAGCCACCTCGGCTGCTGCTTCCTCCATGTTGAAAGGTCACCATTACCTGTGGGGGCATTTGTTCTTCTTCCATCTGCTCTCTGATGCTGCCCACCCCGGTCCTTTGCTATCTGCCTCTCATCCCTTCCATGTCCTTTCCTGGTGCTCTTGAAAAATAATCATAATCAAAATAATTAATAACAACAGAGCCCACTGCAAGCCTGAGGTGGCTCTTAAAGAGGCAGCACCCTATTTTCTCATGGCAGAGCCAGCAGGACCTCCACAGCTCCAGGCTGGCAGCTAGGATGCCACCGTGCCTGAGCCTTTGTTTCTGTCCCTTCCTCTGCCAGGGTTGGAGGGTGGTGCTGGGGCACATGTTTCTGCCTGTGTCCTCCAACAGGCCCTGGGCCTCTGGGATTTTAATTGAACTGTCTTTTCTTAGAGATAGATGCCTTCCACATCCAGCTGCCTGTGTGCATCAGGAAGCCAGCCTGTAGTCCTGTGTGGGGAAATTAAAAGGCGCAGCAGCTGGACTGATTAGATGGGGCAGGGACAGAGCAGGCAGGGAGGGGACACTGTTCATGGCTCCCCCTCTTTTTAGATAATGTCTCTGGTAATGCATTTTGGGAATGTGGCGGTGGGGGTGTAGGGAGACACACACACACACACACACACACACACACACACACACACACACACACCCCACTCCAGCCGTAGAAATGTTAATGATATCTACAGGACACTCAGCAGGAAATGAGAGTGATCTGGGACTAATAAAAACCGAAATGTAATTTGTGCAGATATATGAGGGAGGCAGATGTAGCCTTCAGAGCAGTACGGGTTTGTACATATAAACACACAGCCAGGGAGAACAGGGAGCTGGCGTTCTGTGTCCTGGTCTTAGAAGTGGCCCACCAGCAGTCGTGAGCAGGGGTGACATCCACCTACATCCAGAGTGTGCTCTGCTCTGGGAAGGTGAGGGCAGGAGGCACAGGCCGCCCACCTGGATAGATACTGCCTCCAGCCCCTCTGGATACGCACAGCCTGGGGTGTTTCATCCAAACCACGAGGACTGGAGTGAAGTAGATCCAAAGGGTAGGTGGGCCCTGTCTTAGGGAAGGGTAAGAGATGGAGGTGATGAGCTGGGGGTGGGGCAGGCAGAAGGCTTTGACAACCTGGGGAGGGGAAAGTTGTTTTAGGGGCAACTGGGTCCGGCCCCCTGCTGTGAGCTCTGGGCTTCTCTGGATGCCTGGGCATGCCCTGTTCCTGTGGATAGCGCTCTTCGGCTCCCTTCCCTGGCTCAGTTCTAAGACAAAGAGAGGAAGGCACCTTTGTGGGATCCAGACTGAAGGGAGGCCCGACCTCCCCGCCAGGGCAGCCCCCCATTCCTACCTCTCTCCACCCCCACACTGACTTCTCAACAAACAAACAAAACCCCCTGAAACCTTTGTGGTCTAAGGCAGGCCACACCTCCATCTTAGTGTGTTTTGGAACAAGAACTGGAAAGTCCCAGTTCCCTCCTGGGGGCTTGAGCCGCTTAGTCCCAGAGATCTTGTACCTCCTGCGTTGAGCCTGTGTGGTGGCCTGGGTAAACCCTGACATGTGGGGCGCAGGCTCACTAGCTAGCCCTCTTTGTGATTTCTCCAAAGCTTGGGGACATTTCCCTCTTCCACCACTGAGGATTTTCTGGGGTAACCAAGCCAGTCAGTTGAAGGAAGCCAGCAGAGGTACACAAATCTGTGTTGTGACTCTGTCCACAAAAGCGCCTGCCCTCCCGGTAGGTCAGACACTACCTGCCCCTGTCCCAGATCGGGGCTGCCTGCACCAGCCCTGGCCTGTGAAAGTTAGAGGCAGCCTGGCAGGAGGGGACAGAGAAGAGACAGGGTAGTGTGCTCTCCAGTGGCCAGGGGACTGCGTCTCTGTCCTCTATTAGTATGCATCCCCACACTCTGGACTACATAATCTGTTTATGCACCTATGATACCAAGAACAGGAGGCAGGTGCTACCATCCTTCATTCCCAGGAGTCAGAGGAGGGGGTGCTTTATGTGGACAGTTGTCTTAGCAGCCCCCAGTCAACATCTGCCAGAAGGGACAGAGTCCAGATGGCACTGCAGGGGAGGTGTGTGTGAGCGTGCGTGTACGTGTGCCTGATAGGTCCTTTGTACATGTGTGCATTCCTGTATGTGCAGTCACAGCAGGCCTTGCAAGCAGCTCTCCCCGATTGGGGCGGGGTCCTCATGAGTACCCAGTGTGGTTGGGTCATGCTTAAGTATGTCCACTCAAAGACTAAGAGTATGGGGTCCAGTAGGGCCCCAGGGGACAGTGGAATTACTCTGCTAATTTGAACTGTCTGTGAGGGCTAGGCGTGGTGGTACAGACAAGGGTTGGAGGGAGGAGCTGGCAGGAGGAGTCTGGGGGGGGAAGCGTTCCTGTGACTTGTCTGTGTGGCTCTGTTGGACGGTCCATGTCCGTGGCAGTCCTCCTTAGCACGACTCAGCTGCAGGCACCGTGGAAGCGGAATTTCGGAGCCCATCTCCCGGCCCCAGAGGCTGTCAGTCTGTGCACAGCTGGTGGGAGGGTGGCCGGGAGGGCTGCTGGCTGAGGCAGAGAGAGCGGAACATGGCCCATCTGAATGCTTTCCCTCTGCACCACCCCTTCTCTTCACAGATAACCGGCCCGAGTCATGCAGTCTTTTCGAGAAAGGTGTGGTTTCCATGGCAAACAGCAAAACTACCCGCAAACCTCACAGGAGACATCGCGCCTGGAGAACTACAGGCAGCCAGGTCAGGCTGGGCTCAGCTGTGATCGGCAGCGGCTGCTGGCCAAGGACTATTACAGCCCACAGCCCTATACAGGCTATGAGGGTGGCGCCGGCACACCTGGCACAGTGGCCACGACAGCTGCAGACAAGTACCACCGAGGCAGCAAGTCCCTGCAGGGGAGGCCGGCTTTCCCCGGCTATGTTCAAGACAGCAGCCCCTACCCAGGGCGCTACTCTGGCGAGGAGGGTCTTCAGACCTGGGGGGGCCCACAGCCCCCACCTCCCCAACCGCAGCCCCTGCCAGGGGCAGTGAGCAAGTATGAGGAGAACTTGATGAAGAAGACGGTGGTGCCCCCAAACAGGCAGTACCCTGAGCAGGGCCCCCAACTTCCCTTCCGGACTCACAGCCTGCATGCCCCCCCACCACAGCCTCAGCAGCCCCTGGCTTACCCCAAACTCCAGAGGCAGAAACCCCAGAATGACCTTGCCTCCCCTCTGCCCTTCCCCCAGGGCGGCCACTTTCCCCAGCATTCTCAGTCCTTCCCCGCCTCCTCCACCTACGCCCCAGCGGTGCAGGGCGGTGGGCAGGGGGCCCACTCATACAAGAGCTGCACAGCACCATCCGCCCAGCCCCACGACCGGCCGATGAGTGCCAATGCCAGCCTGGCCCCAGGACAGCGGGTCCAGAGTCTTCACGCCTACCAGTCGGGCCGCCTCAGCTATGAGCAGCCGCAGCCGCCGCAGGCACTTCAAGGCCGGCACCACACCCAGGAAACTCTCCACTACCAGAACCTCGCCAAGTACCAACACTATGGACAGCAAGGCCAGGGCTACTGTCCGCCGGACACAGCTGTCAGGACTCCAGAGCAGTATTACCAGACCTTCAGCCCTAGCTCCAGCCACTCCCCTGCACGTTCTGTGGGGCGCTCTCCTTCCTATAGCTCCACCCCGTCGCCACTGATGCCCAACCTGGAGAACTTCCCCTACAGCCAGCAGCCGCTTAGTACTGGGGCCTTCCCCACAGGCATCACAGACCACAGCCACTTTATGCCCCTGCTCAATCCCTCGCCGACGGATGCCGCCAGTTCTGTGGACCCCCAGGTCAGCAACTGCAAGCCCCTGCAAAAGGAGAAGCTCCCCGACACCTTGCTGTCGGACCTCAGCCTGCAGAGCCTCACGGCACTCACCTCACAGGTGGAAAACATCTCCAACACGGTGCAGCAGCTCCTGCTCTCCAAAGCTGCCATGCCCCAGAAGAAAGGGGTCAAGAGCCTCGTGTCGAGGACTCCGGAGCAGCACAGGAACCAGCACTGTAGCCCCGAGGGCAGCGGTTACTCCGCTGAGCCGGCAGGCACGCCGCTGTCCGAGCCGCCCAGCAGCACCCCCCAGTCCACGCATGCCGAGCCACAGGACACTGACTACCTGAGTGGCTCCGAGGACCCCCTCGAGCGCAGCTTCCTCTACTGCAGCCAGGCCCGCGGCAGTCCCGCCAGGGTCAACAGCAACTCCAAGGCCAAGCCTGAGTCTGTGTCCACCTGTTCTGTGACCTCACCCGACGACATGTCCACCAAGTCTGACGACTCTTTCCAGAGCCTGCACAGTACTCTGCCTCTGGACAGCTTCTCTAAATTCGTGGCAGGCGAGCGAGACTGCCCACGGCTGCTGCTCAGTGCCCTGGCACAGGAAGATCTGGCCTCTGAGATCCTGGGGCTTCAGGAAGCCATCGTTGAGAAGGCTGACAAGGCCTGGGCTGAGGCTTCCAGCCTGCCCAAGGACAATGGCAAGCCACCCTTCTCACTGGGGAACCACAGCACTTGCCTAGACACTGTGGCCAAGACGTCATGGTCACAGCCAGGGGAACCAGAGACCCTACCTGAGCCCTTGCAGCTGGACAAGGGTGGAAGCACCAAGGCCTTCAGCCCGGGGCTGTTCGAAGACCCTTCTGTGGCCTTCGCCACCGCTGACCCGAAGAAGACCACCAGTCCCCTGTCCTTTGGCACCAAGCCTCTGCTTGGGGCTGCCACTCCAGACCCCACCACGGCCGCATTTGACTGCTTTCCAGACACGACCACTGCCAGCTCTGTGGACGGTGCCAACCCCTTTGCCTGGCCAGAGGAGAATCTGGGCGACGCTTGTCCTCGCTGGGGCCTCCACCCTGGTGAGCTCACCAAGGGCTTGGAGCAGGGCGCGAAGACCTCAGACAGTGTCGGCAAAGCGGATGTACACGAGAGCCCTGCCTGCTTGGGCTTCCAGGAAGAGCATGCCATGGGGAAGCCCACAGCAGTGCTGTCTGGGGACTTCAAGCAGCAGGAGGCAGACGGGGTGAAGGAGGAAGTGGGTGGGTTGCTGCAGTGCCCTGAGGTGGGCAAAGCTGACCAGTGGCTGGAGGACAGCCGCCATTGCTGCTCCTCCACTGACTTCGGGGACCTGCCGCTGTTGCCACCGCCTGGCCGGAAGGAGGACCTGGAGGCCGAAGAGGAGTACTCCTCCCTGTGTGAGCTGCTGGGGAGCCCTGAGCAGAGGCCCAGCCTGCAGGACCCACTGTCCCCCAAGGCCCCGCTGATGTGCACCAAGGAGGAAGCAGAGGAGGTGCTGGACACCAAGGCCGGCTGGGCCCCCCAGTGTCACCTCTCTGGGGAGCCTGCCATCCTACTGGGCCCCTCCGTGGGTGCCGAATCAAAGGTCCAGAGCTGGTTTGAGTCTTCACTGTCACATATGAAGCCAGGAGAAGATGGGCCAGAGATGGAGAGAGCCCCAGGTAGTTCCGCCACTTCAGAAGGCTCCCTGGCCCCGAAGCCTAACAAGCCTGCTGTGCCTGAGGTGCCCATTGCTAAGAAAGAGCCCGTGCCCAGGGGTAAAAGTTTACGGAGCCGGCGGGTCCACCGGGGGCTGCCTGAGGCCGAAGACTCTCCGTGCAGGGTACCAGCACTTCCCAAAGACCTCTTGCTCCCCGAGTCCTGCACGGGACCCCCCCAGGGACAGGCAGAAGGGGCGGGAGCCCCAGGCCGGGGGCTGTCAGAAGGGCTCCCCAGAATGTGTACTCGCTCTCTTACAGCTCTGAGTGAGCCCCAAACTCCTGGACCCCCGGGCCTGACCACCACGCCCACACCTCCTGACAAACTGGGCGGCAAACAGCGAGCCGCCTTCAAGTCCGGCAAGCGGGTAGGAAAACCATCCCCCAAGGCCGCATCCAGCCCCAGCAACCCTGCGGCCCTGCCTGTTGCCTCGGACAGCAGCCCCATGGGCTCCAAGACCAAGGAGCCGGACTCTCCCAGCATCCCTGGAAAGGACCAGCGTTCCATGGTCCTCCGGTCTCGCACCAAACCCCAGCAGGTCTTCCATGGCAAACGGCGGCGGCCCTCGGAGAGCCGGATCCCGGACTGCCGTGCCCCCAAGAAGCTCCCTGCCAACAACCACTTAGCCACCGCATTCAAGGTCTCCAGTGGGCCCCCGAAGGAAGGCCGGGTGAGCCAGCGGGTCAAAGTCCCCAAGCCCGGTACAGGGAGCAAGCTCTCAGATCGGCCTCTCCACACGCTCAAAAGGAAGTCGGCGTTCATGGCTCCCGTCCCCACCAAAAAGCGAAGCCTCATCCTGCGCAGCAACAACGGAAGTGGACCGGATGGGAGGGAGGAGAGGGCCGAGAGCTCCCCTGGCCTCCTGAGGAGGATGGCCTCACCCCAAAGGGCCAGGCCCAGAGGCAGCGGGGAGCCGCCCCCACCCCCACCCCTGGACCCACCTGCTGCATGCATGGGGTTGGCTACACCATCATCCCTGCCCAGCGCTGTGAGGACCAAGGTGCTGCCACCCCGGAAGGGGCGTGGCCTCAAACTGGAGGCCATCGTACAGAAGATCACCTCACCTGGGCTCAAGAAACTCGCCTGCAGAGTGGCAGGGGCTCCTCCTGGGACACCCCGGAGCCCAGCCCTACCTGAGAAACGTTCGGGGGGCAGTCCAGCTGGGCCAGAGGAGGGCCTAGGAGGAATGGGCCCTGGGCAGATGCTCCCGGCAGCTCCAGGAGCCGACCCGTTGTGCAGAAATGCAGCCAGCAGGTCCCTAAAAGGCAAACTCTTGAGTAAGAAACTGTCCTCTGCTGCTGACTGTCCCAAAGCTGAGGCCTTCGTGTCCCCGGAGACCCTGCCATCCCTAGGGGCTGCCCGGGCACCGAAGAAAAGGAGCCGGAAAGGCAGGACCGGGGCCTTGGGACCCTCTAAAGGCCTGTTGGAGAAGCGGCCCTGTCCTGGCCAAACTCTGATCCTTGCTACCCACGACAGGGCCAGCAGCACTCAGGGTGGAGGCGAGGACAGCCCCAGTGCAGGAGGCAAGAAGCCAAAGACAGAGGAGCTGGGCCTGGCCTCCCAGCCCCCTGAAGGCCGGCCCTGCCAGCCCCAGACAAGGGCACAGAAGCAGCCAGGCCAAGCCAGCTACAGCAGCTACTCAAAGCGGAAGCGCCTCAGCCGTGGCCGGGCTAAGACCACCCATGCTTCGCCCTGTAAGGGACGTGCCACCCGGAGACGGCAGCAGCAGGTTCTGCCCCTGGATCCTGCAGAGCCTGAAATCCGACTCAAATACATTTCCTCTTGCAAGCGGCTGAGGGCAGACAGCCGCACCCCAGCCTTCTCGCCCTTTGTGCGGGTGGAGAAGCGAGATGCGTTCACCACCATATGCACGGTCGTCAACTCCCCGGGGGACGAGCCCAAGCCTCACTGGAAGCCGGCCTCCTCTGCTGCCTCCTCCTCCTCCACCTCCTCCTCCTCCTCCTCCTCAGAACCAGCTGGGACCTCTCTAACCACATTCCCTGGAGGCTCTGCGCCGCCGCAGCCGAGGCCCTCCCTGCCCCTCTCCTCCACCATGCATCTGGGGCCTGTGGTGTCCAAGGCCCTGAGTACCTCTTGCCTTGTCTGCTGCCTCTGCCAAAACCCGGCCAACTTCAAGGACCTCGGGGACCTCTGTGGCCCCTACTACCCTGAACACTGCCTCCCCAAAAAGAAACCAAAACTCAAGGAGAAGGTGCGGCTGGAAGGCACCTTCGAGGAGGCCTCTCTGCCTCTCGAGAGAACAGTCAAAGGCCTGGAATGTGCAGTCGGCACCACAGCCACCGCCGCCACCGCCGTCACCACCGCCACCCCGACCCTGGGGAGGCTGTCCCGGCCTGATGGCCCAGCCGACCCTGCCAAGCAGGGCTCCCTGCGCACCAGTGCCCGGGGCCTGTCCAGGCGGTTGCAGAGTTGCTATTGCTGTGACGGTCAGGGGGACGGGGGTGAGGAGGTGGTCCCAGCTGACAAGAGCCGCAAACACGAGTGCAGCAAAGAGGCCCCTGCAGAACCTGGTGGGGACACCCAGGAACACTGGGTGCATGAGGCTTGTGCCGTGTGGACCAGCGGGGTGTACCTGGTGGCCGGAAAGCTCTTTGGGCTGCAGGAGGCCGTGAAGGTAGCTGTGGACATGGTAAGAAGCCAGACCAGCTGGGCTAGGGGATGGGGTTTTGAAGTACCAACAGGCTAGTCGAGGTGTCTGTCTCCAGGGCTTTATCGTGGGCCAGAGAGTAGCCAGGGTACACTCTCCAGGCCCTGGAGTCCCTTGAGGGAGCGTGGAGGCAAGTTCCAGTATTCCTGGGGCCACAGCAGGACACACTTACCCATCCTGCCTCAGGGTGTGTGCCACAGTTCTGTGATCCATTGGGCCAGTCTTCCCACACACCCTACCCAAAACTGGAGCTGCTGGGTCCTGGCGAGACAGAGCCCTTCCTGAGGTGAATGCCGAGGTGGCCTGATCTTCCCTGAACTGGGACGTGTGGGATAGCTTCTAAACAGCATGTGGCTAACGCATGGGACACTGGCCCTGGGCAGCCCCGGGTTACCTGGCCGTGGAAGCCCCGAAGCTCAACCCTCCAGTTCTAAGACATCCCTTCCGAGAACTTTGGACCGCTGCATGCCATCTGCCTCTGCCCTGTCCTTCCTCCCGTGGGGCACGGCCACAGGACCCAGTACATTAACACATTGGTCTTGAGGGCTGTATCTGGGCTCACAGGTCTGGGATGGAGAGTGTATGCTGAGCTCTGGCTGCAGCTAAGGTTCTCAGACCAAGGGGACTAGAAGAGGCCACTCCAGAGCCCATGTTCCCCTGAAGTTTTGACCCCAGGGCAGAAGACTCTGAGATCTGCCAGGTCCACCTACTGCACACCGACCTTCCTGGGTATTCATACCAGCTCTGTTGATTTCCTCCTTCCCTCAGTCCGCTGTGGGCAGCTGAGCTCAGAGGACCGTGCCTGTCCCAGCGGCCTCCCTCCTCCCCACATCTACTGTCCCAGCTCCTCAGGAGCACTCTGGCCAGGCCCCATCCTTGACCTTGGGGACCACTGTGGATGCTGCCCTTGGCTCCAGGCATCTCCTGTCCATGGTGATGGCTATAGACTCTGTGGGCCCTATTGTCCACCCATCTTGCTGAGAAGGGCCTGAGACACAAGACAACCTAGCCTCAGTACCTCAGCCAGTTCATGCAGCAGGCAGGCAGGCAGGCACCAACCCCATGTCCTGCCTGTCACTGCTTTCATGGTGACTTAGGCTTTACTAAAGCTGCCTTGAAATAGTCTTGTCTGTCCCTTCATTGGAAAGTAACAATCCTGGAACCCCTATCCAGCGGGGTACCTGATACCCTGCATTATCCAGGGCTGCCTTGAGGGTCAGGCCTGGGACCCAGTCACCACCTCCCCAAACCCCAGCACTGGGCTCATATCAGGGAAACACTGGTGAGTGCAGGTAAAGGCCCCTGTTCCTGGTCTGGCCCTGTGCTTCTGGCCTCCTGCTGCTCATTCTGGCACACACAGAACATCCTGTTGAGCTGAGGAGGGTGTAAGGGTCACAGGGTCACAGCTGGAGCTGGAGCTGGAGCTGGAGCTGCTCACTGATGAGCCCTGTCAATGCTACCAAACCCCAGGGTAACAAGGAAGGCCAGGAGAGGCTCTCATTGGACAAGGGTTGGCTGCGTATTGAAGGTGTCTCCTTGCCAGAGGTGGGCCTGGCTGGCTCATGACTGGCAGCTGGGGCCTGCTGCCAGGTTGTACCCCACAGCCACAGGCTCATAGTACATGTCCCCGTCCCCCCCCAGAATACACTGGGGGATAGGCTAGGGTTTCCCAGGTTCCCTGGTGAGTGACTTGCAGGGTCATAGTTGAGCCCATTGCTTTCTGCCTCAGTAGCTTCTTGCACTGCTCTCTCCATGAACCAGTCAGACCCTGGTTCAAGTCTAACTTCAGGAGGCTTCGTGTCTTCTGCAAGCCCCAGAATGCCAGCTCCACCCAGTACACTGGCCAGGCCTTTGGTCTTCCCTGTCCTCCACAGTCCCCACTGTATCTCAGCCCGCCATGCCTACCTTCCAGGTCTTCAGGCACCCAGGCTGCCCACATCCTCAGTCTATCATCATGTACCTCATTACCTGGCTAGAGGGGGTCCTCAGGAGACTGGTGGTCTCTGGGTGCCCGGTCAAGGGATGGCGCCCGCTTGATCAGCTGTGCCCCCTGTAAGGGAACTGGGGCCAAGAGCAAGTCTTCATCCTCTGTGCCTTCGTGTCTCCATATCTGCCCTGAGTAGTCCTGCCTCAGGAGTTGCTTGGGACTATCTGCCACAAGGGGGGCCATAGTTACCCTCAAATCTCTCCGTACTCCCCAAGGCCACTGTGAGTGAGATTTGGTCTACTTTGGGGTTCCCACTGTGCTTCAGCTTCCTCTAGTGGCTTAAGAGGTGGACGTAGGGCCCCAGGTCCTCGGGAGGCTCATCCGGAAGCTCTGTATGGAGGTCTTCCTCTCTTGCTGACCCACCCCCCACTCCACTCCAGCTACAGAGTGTTTGGACAGAATCCACCCTGACAGTGCAGCCTGGACCTGCTGGGCTGCGGCTCTGGGTCCCCCTGGAACTTTGAGCTTACGGGCTGTTCCCAGCTCTGTTTTCTCTGGCCTGGAGAAGACGGAGCTGTGCCGGGACGTCCAGCCATGCCTGGCACCCAGTGCACTGTTACCTGCTGAATTGCGTAGTAGCCTTCTCTGTCCTCTGCTTCCCTCCCATCACTGTCCCCTGTGATGATAGGCTTGGGAGCAGAGGTGGCCTGGGACCCGTCTACATCCCTCCCTATGCCAAGACTTGCTATCACTCTTGCAATTGGCCTTCTTGTCATTGTCCTGTTCTAGCCAGGTCACAGCCTCCCAGCCCAGCAGAAGTCATTATGGAGACCAGCCAGGGGCTGGACATGGTCTGGGGAGCATCAGAGACACATGAGCTCAGCCTCTGGGGGGGTCACATGTCAACTCTTCCCCCAGCTCATTTCTGTGCATCTGCTGCTGCCATTGGGTAGAGAGTGCTGCTCCCTCCCATGGAAGGGGCCTGTCTCACCCTCAGGAAAGTGGAGGTCAGGGAAAGCCACGCCCCTTGCTGCTGCTAGAAGGAGCCAGAGGATGAGGACACGCCAGAGCCAGCATGTAAGCAGCACCTGACAGATGGTGGCTGCCAGCCGTGGTCACTGTGGTGACTAGCACCACCAGCCCAAGAGGGTCCTCCACCCAGTGTGCCGGCCCAGGAGGTGGCAGAGGGCCAACCCTCGAGGGCATTTCCTCCCATGCATCACAGGGCCGTTCTGGCAGAAATGCTGTGTGTGGGGCCTGTCTGGGACACACAAGGACTCACTTGCCTTCCTCTCTTTTCAGCCATGTTCCAGCTGTCATGAAGCCGGGGCAACCATCTCGTGCTCCTATAAAGGATGCATCCACACCTACCACTACCCTTGTGCCAGTGACACAGGTAAGAGCCAGCCTGGGCCCAGCTGCTCCAGCTCGGCCCCCAGGGACTCCCGGGCCTCACCTGCCCCAGCAGTTCTTTAGCTCTCTGTCCTCGTCACCTCTACCTGCGTGTGGCAGTTCCAGGATGTGGAAATGGGTCAGTCCCTACCTACCAGACTGAGGATTTCCCAGAGCTCTGAGCAAAGAACTCAGGAAGGAAAGTGAACGGGCATGGGCTTTCAAGGATGAATAGGGGTACACTCAACAGAAGAAGAGAGGTTATGTACCAACTAAAACCAAATAGGGAGCTGAGAGGGTGTCTCAAGTGATAGATTGTGTGAGGGCAACCATCCTGTGCTCCTACACAGAATGTGCCCATACCAACCATACTACCTGAGTGCCAGAGACACCATCCCCAGCACTTACTACAGAAAAATAAAGCTAGGCGAATTTAGGTCAAAATGGAGATAGACCAGCTGGCATGTTGGCTATCAGGACTGGCCATGCAAAGTCTGAAACAGGTCTGTAGGGCTGTGACAGACCCCTGTGACCTGCCCTCATCCCTACTCATTCATTGTGGGCCACAGGACCAAGAAGGCCAGCCCTAACCCGTCAAGTGGGAGACTTGCAGCACTGGTCTGTAGAGAAAGCATCCAGTCCCTGGGAACGGCAGCACCGCTGCTATCCAGACCCAGCCCTGGTGGCCCTTCTTCCTGTGCGCATCACACAGTCTTTGTGCTTAGGCCCCTCTGCAGAGCTGGAGTGTGAACAGCTCTTCATGGGAGCAGCAGCAGGACTATCCAGGAAGTGCAGCCTCGTGGGTCAGGCTGTCGCAGCCCTCCATCCCTCTCAACTCTGGCCTGGTCATTTGTCCTAGCCTGAGCAGTGGCAGGCCATCAGCGCTGTCTGCCCAGTGGATCCTCAGCTTTAGCCCCAGCCAAGCTACCCTGGGAGCCACCCAGGGCCTCAGATGGTGACAGTCTTTCGGGGTGCTGAGCTTCTAACACTCAGCAGGATTGGGTCCTTCATTGACTCTGCCTCCATCATAATGTGACCTGTATCGGAATGTGGACTCGACCTAAGTACAAGGCTCCACTCCCTATCCAGCCTGTCACAGCCCAAGTCACCACGTGGCAATTCACTTTCTGCCCAGTCCCTAGCGACATCCTTACTGTGTGCTGTCTCTCCCACAGCCACACAGAGGCTGGCCTTCTCTGCTGTTGTCTCCAAGCTTGTCCAGCCTCCCCAGGGGCTCACAGCCTGAAGGGGGCAGACAGGACAGGCATGGTTCTGCCACAGTAGTAGACTAGGTGTCTCGGTCACCTTTCTGTTGCTGTGATAAGATGCCCTGGCAAAAGCAGCGTAGAGGTGGTCAGATGAGTTTCAGCTCAGTCACAGGTCACAAGCCACCACAGTAGGGAAGTCATGGGAACAGGGACTTAAGGGAGCTGATCACACCACATTGGTCAGGAAGCAGAGCTGGGGATAATGGTGCACGCCTTTAATCCACCCCTTGGGAGGCAGAGGCAGGTGTCTCTCATGTGAGATCAAGGCCAGCTTGGTCTACATAGTGAGTTCAGAACAGCCAGGGCTACAGAGAGAGACCCTGTCTCAAAAGAAAAAATAAAAAAAGCAGCAGAAAGGAGCTAGGCATGGTGGCACACTCCTTTAATCCCAGCATTTGGGAGTCAGAGGCAGGCAAATGTCTATATTTGGAGCCAACCTGGATTCCATAGCAAATTCCAGGTCAGCCAGGGCTATATGATGGACTCTGTCTCAGATGCTGGGCAGTTAAGAGTCCTTGCAGAGGTCCCGAGTTCCATTCCCAGCACCCACATACTGGTGGCCTACAACTACCTTAAGTCCAGCTGCCCAGGGATCTGATGCCCTCTTCTGGCTTCTGTCAGTACTGCAGTGCACACAGACATACATACATACACACATTTAAAAAACTAAAACTTAAGCCAGGCATGGTGGCACATGCCTTTCATCCTGGCAGTTGGAAGGCAAAGGCAAACATCTCCACGTTCAAGACCAGCCTGGTCTACAGAATGAGTTCCAGGCCAGCTAAGGCTGTATAGTGAGACCCACCCTCCCAAAATAATAACTTTAAGAAACAGTAGCAACAGAACAGCCGGACTGTGTTCTCACTGCACTTAAGATAACTCCCTCATACGGGTGGAGAGATGGCTGGGCACGACTGCTGCCCTGCAGGCGCCCCTGGGCTTGACTTAGACCCACACGGTGTCTTGATAACCATCTGAAACTCCAGTTCCAGGGCAGTTGATGCCCCCTTTTTGGCCTCTGTTGGCACCGGGAACACATGTGGAGCATAGAAGTGCTTTTCAGTCAGAGCACCCATAAATGTAAATTCTTCTAAAGATAATCCCTCAAAGGCATGCCCAGGGCCCATCTTCCAGGTTATTCCAAATTCTGTCTTCTTGACAATACTATCCCATCAGATGAGGAGAAAATGCTCAGAAGAGAGACCCATTCTGTCTGAGCTGGAAAGAATCTGGGGAAGGAAAATTCCAGACAGGTGGCATTGGAGCTAGGTCTCCAAACATCAGATGCGTTGAGCCATGACTAGTTAGTGGTAGGACTGTAGACCAGGCTTTGAGCAGCTAACAGGAGTCTGAGACATTGACATGATGGAGGCTGGTGAACTCCACAGTGGTCCAGGCAGAAGAGAACGCTGCCTGGTGCAGGTAGAAGCACAGAATTCACAGGACTTGAGAAAACGAGATGGGTATGTCACGCCTGGCTTCCTCATTTTAAGATGTTGATTTGGGCCCGGCGTTGGGCGTTGTGGCACACGCCTTTAACCTGAGCTCTCAGGAGGCAGAGGCAGATGTATCTCTGTGAATCTGAGGAAAGCCAGGGCTACACAGAAAAACCCTGTCTCGGAAAAACAAAAATGTTGATTTGGGCAGGGCAGGCGTAAGAAAATAGGTCACGGGGTGGGGGGGGCACCACGTGGGGGAGGGGAAGATCCTTGCCCTTGCACCCCCGGCTTGGTGGCTTACACAGCACCCCATTAATACTTTGATCAGGCTCTGCAGGGGGTGGGCTGCACTGGGCCAGTGCTGGCTGCTCCAGGTGGTTGGCCTAGCGCATCCATCCTGTGGCAGCAGCTGGGCACACACATACCAACAGGTAACAAGAACAAGGCTGTTGTAACCTGTGCTCTGCTGGCCAAAGGCAGAGCCGTGTAGCTAAGGGTGGGGTGCAATAGGGGGAGCTGCCTGCCCAGGCAGCAGCTGCCCTGAGGTCAGGCGGCACTGGAGCTGTTCTCATTGGGCTCCTGTCCTCAGGATGGGGGGTTAGGGGCACCCCCCAACAGCTGTCAGGAAGGTAGAACCCTGGAAATGGCAGCCAGGGCAAATGAAGAAGCCAGAGTGGCTAGCTTCCACATAGCTAGGGAGTCAGGAATAGTTCACCACATGGAGCCGGCCTCTCCGAGGTGCCCTCCTGGGTTGCTAGAAGTAAGGTGACCGCTGACTGTCCCCTTCTGCCCCTCATTGGCTACAGCGTAGGGTCCGATCTGAACATCTGGATTAGTCCCAAAGCTGCTCCCCCCCCCCCCCCCCCCCCCCCCAGTCCCTGCTCTTACTGTTGGATTAGATAGCTAGATAGCTGGCTGAGCTGCCTGGGAAGGAGCAACCACCCCTGGTTAGGGTGTGTGGGAGCCTAGGTCCAGCCCAGCCCCAGAGCCGAATGTGTGTGCCTCAGTGCACCCACCATCAGGGGACCCTAGAAGACGAGCTCTCCTGCAATGTTCTCCCTCCTCTTTGGGTGCAGAAAAGGGAGGGGGTGGAAGGAGGGAGGACAGGGGAATCCGTGGCTGATATGTGAAATTAATTATAAAATAAAAATACTGTTTAAAAGGGGGGGGGATATAGGCAGGCTCTGCACCGTCCCTAGTGTGAGACGGGAGAGTAGTCTGGGGAGGCGAACCCTGGTCAGTGGCAGAGAGGGGAGGGAAGATGGGCCCAAGGGGGTGGGTGGCAGCTGGCAAGGAGGCCTCAGCCCCGCACTGCCCAGGTAGGCATGAGGACTGCTTGTGTTTAGCTGTCCTCTCTGGACGGCTAGGGATTCATCCAGACCCGTGACCTTGTCACTCTGAACATGAGGAAGGGTACCCATGACAGCACCCAGTAGGCGACACTGTGACTTCTACCAAGTGCAGGCTGAGGCTCGGTAGCCGACGGAGACTCCACTCGCCAGCTGTCAGCCGCCCAGCAGTCATGGGTGCTGGCTGAGCAAGGGCCTCTCCTGACGCTTGTGCAGGAGGCTGGGGCAGGAGTAGCCATGAACAATAAGGCATGGGGGAGTGGGCATGTTAGGGTCGAGTTTGTTCTGCTGTGGGGAGGCCCTGGGTGGCGAGACCTGGGGCAATGGGCCAGGGGGAGTCTCGGGGTGTAGGGAGGGGTGGAGATTATCAGGGTAGAGGCAGAAGGTCTGCATCCCTGGGTGCTCAGAACCACACTGGCAGCCAAGCCTACCCTGCATCGCCACAGAAACTTCTCTTTGCTCACAGGTTGCACATTCGTTGAGGAGAACTTTACTTTGAAGTGCCCCAAACATAAGGTAGGTGAACAGGCTCCTAGAGTTCCCCCCACCCAACCCAGTTTCTCCCTGCCTTGCCAGAGGGTACACAGCGGGGGGGGGGCACGGCCAGGGCCCTAAGGTACTTCTCCCACAGCCCACAGTGGGCTGCAGGGCCTTGCGTGGAAGGGCTGGGCCGGGTGGCAGCGGGTGGCCTTGGCCCTAACGCGCTGTCCCTCCCACAGAGGCAGCCGTTGTAATTCCCACGTGGCCGAGTCTCCGAGGAAGAGGAGCTGCGCCCACAGCCGGTCCTTGATCCCATCCCGGGTCTTGGTTCCGGCTGCTTCGGGCGCTGGCGTGACGCCCGGGTTGCGAAGAAAACCTGTTCCAGGCCAGACTTGGCGAGGGCAGGCCACCGGGCGGCTAGACCCGGGGCACGCGGCTTCGGGCGGGGTACAAGTCCCCTGCAAGTTCTGAAACGACGTGGCATGCAAGCTGTGCCCCCCCGGGAAGAGGCCGAGGGCGCTGCTGGCTCGGTGGACGACGTGGGGGCAGGACCCAAGCCTTTCTGGAGAGGCCCGGCTAATGGGGGAATACTGCCCTGGCCCCCGAGGCTTTGCCCAGGGTCGTGGCCGGCCTGGGCTCAGGCCATGCGGTTCCTGATGTGGGCTGGCCTGGGGCGGTGCCCTGGGGCCTGTTTGCCCCCTTTCCAGTCTTCCACCCCACTGTTGGAGCCGTCTGGAAGCTTTGGAAGCTTGAGGAAGCGGCCTGGCTACCCTCTAGGCAGCCGTCCGATGCACCACCGTGGGTTCCAGGGACTGGCGCTCGCTCGGCTCGTGGGCGGGACAGTGCTAGACTCCGTGTACAAACCTGTGTACCCCTCTATATATATGTTATATAGAATGTATATATGTTGGGAACATGCTCGCTTCTGTGTGTCGCTGCTGTGCGTCGTGTGCTCCACAGCACAGAGCCCTAAGCTGGCCTTGGCCGGGGAAGGGGCTACAGTGATGCCCCTTCCTCATGCAACCACCGTCACCGCCGCCACCACCACGGCCAGTCCCCACCTGTCCGTTTGTGTTCTCAGCTCTGTCCACGCTTCAATAGGCCTGATGCAGCCCCCCCTTTCCCTGCAACTTCCTGTACATATGACTGTAAAATGGTAAACGTGTGTATTATATCTGGCCTCGTTATATAGTGTATATATATGTATACATATACATATATATAATATATATGAAGACTGTAAATGTTAAGACAACTAGTGTTCTTATTAGTATATTGCTTCACACTGAAGATTGTGTGTATCGAGCTGTTTCTAAAAGATGTTTATTTTCCTTAAGAGTTAAAAAAAGAAAAAAACAGTCATTGCATTCAGAAAAAAAAAAGTCAATAAAGATACCACGATTGTTTTGGAAGTTTGCGGCCTGTGGATGCCGACCAGATTCCCTAGGGGGTTGGGAGTGGAGGGAAGGGCCTGGGGACACAAACAGGGACCCCGATTGTGCTTGTAGACTTCTGTGGTCTCAGGTCCTGACTGTGGTTCAAGATTTCGCCAGGTGTACAAAGATGACCAGGAAACCGTGTGTGTGATGCCCCAGACACACAGGGAAACCATATAGCCCTGTCACAACAGGCCTTGGAGGTTTGCTGAGTCAGCCCTCATCACCCCAGGACCTGCCGAGGGGCTGGGAGCAAAGGGACAACTGAGACCATCAAGACCCCTCAAGGTTGATAGAGCACAAGTGTGGCTGTGAGATCAGTGGGACAGGTTGGCTAAACATCACACCATCCCACGGCAGACACCAGCAAACACCCCCTTACAGCAGATGGGAAGTCTTGCTTCCCAGAGGACAACTGAGGAAGGATGGAAGTCAGATGAGGCCAACATCTGCCTACCCAGATAAACAAAACTGAGGTTATAAATAATTTCACTTTTTAATTTTCTGTACAAAATTTCTCAACCTATGAAAATAAAGTTTGCAAAAGTCAAGTAGCACACGAGCCTGCTCAGGAAACTGGCTCAGCAGAATCTACACTATGTACAAGTCTCCCAGGAGAGGGTGCGAGCCTTGGGACAGGGGGGCCCTCTGCTAGGGGAAAGGTTCCTTCCCATATACAGGGAAAAAGCCACTAAGGTGCCTACAGAGCAAGAGGGTGGCATTGGGCCAGTGCAGCCTCTGCAACTTCTAGATCCGCCACTAGAGGTCGGCATGATCCCGACTGCTTGTCAGGCTCACCCTCTGGACGACCACAGCCAGTGACAAAGGTCCTTAAGGGCCTCGAAGACTGGGGAAAGCGTCCAGGGTCTAGCTGGAAGTGACAGTGGTCCCGCCGCCCAGGCGCAGCAGCATCTGCTGGCAGTCGAGCAGGAGCCGATGATCGCCAAGCTTCTCGACGGTGCGTGCTGCCTCGGCCAGCATGCTCATCCGCTGTCCCGGGGCCGACAGGAAGGCAGGTGGCAGATAGCAGGAGGCCAACAGCAAGGCCTCGGTGTGCTCCCGCCACGTGGGTCGAGGCTCTAGCTCAGGCGCAGCGCCTGCACATAGGGATCGTGTCAGGGGAGCAAGGCTTAGGTCTGTTTAAGGCCATACCCTGCGCACAAGGCATCTGACCTGTACCTGCACTATGGATGCCAGGGTCCTGCTCTCCACCCACGTCAGGTACACAGGTGGGCCCAGCTTCCTCCCTATGACCATCTCACAAATTGTCACCCCCAGTTGTTCTGTAATCCGGTGGAGGTGGGGCGTGCACGCACACACACACACACACACACACACACACACACACACACACACACACACACACACACACACACACACACGGTTAGCCCAAACGCCTCCTCACCTCCTTTGCCGCTGGAGCCTGCCCGCCTCCGCAGGCTGCGGTCCAGGAGCTGGTGTGTGCGGGCAGGACTGGCTCCCGCCATCAGCCGAGCGGTGGCCTCGTGCAGGAAGACCTAGGAAGTGAGGAGTGACGGCCAGTCTCAGACTGAGTGCCTGCCCTCTCCCCTGGCCTCCTGCCCCCTGCCTCCCGGTGTGAGGTGAGGACAGTAGGACTTACTCTCCTCATAGCAGGCCGGAAGCTCTGTGCCAAGCGCCTCAGACTGCTCAGGTCCTGCTGGAAACCGCGAAGCTCCAGAGCAGAGGCCTGGGGTCCGCTGCCGGCACCGTGAGCCACCTGGGCTGAGGCCGGTGACTGCTGGCGCTGCCACAGACTGGTCCGAGCCACAAGAAGGAGATCACACAGGAGCAGCTGCATGGCCTGAGGTGGCAACGGGGCAGAGGTCAGTCAGCGGGGGCCTCGCACCGGCAAGGGCAGAGAGCCCGCAGCACCAGGGGCGGATCTAGGCGGCACGGCGAGGCCCTGCACCCGCCTCGCACATGCAAGCAACAGCAATTCGCCACAGGTCCACCTCCTCTGCGCCACATGCCCGCAAGCCCCCAGACTTCCCAACGACGGCCCCCACAGGAGCTCTGCCAGCCTGTTCACCACCCCCTTCCTCCTGGTGGTAGGAAAATGCTGAGACCATTCTCCCCAGGACTTCAGCCGACACTAAGGTAAGCCCACTCAGCGCTATTCCGTATTAACTCCAAGTAAACTGGGAATGGACAGCTAGCTGTGACCCTGGCTAGCCAGGTACCCATCTCACCCTCACCTTGTCGATGGAACTGCCAGCTGGTGCATTGGCTAAGCTGTCCCGCAAGTACCCACTGGCCTTCTCACAGAGGGCCAGGCTGGCTGGGCCAGGTTCCACCTTTCTGTGGTCCAGCAGAGCCCGGGCAGCCTTGAAGGAGTACAGAGCTGCCCTGGGCAAGGGTCTCCTATTGGAGCCAGAGCAGACATGGTAGGTTAGACCAGGCTACAGAACCTCCCAGACAACCCCCCCCCCCCATCCTGGTTCTAGTCTCCTGGGGCAGAGTGCACTGTCCTTCCCATGTAGATAGTTAAGCAAAGCACCCAGGGGCCCAAAACTGGGTGAGAAGACCTGGCCGGGCACTCACTCGGTATCCTGCAGCACTTGGGGCATGTGCTCTACCAGTGGGTAGAGGCGCTCGGCCGCCTCCTCATCCCGCCGCAGCCAGTGGATCACCACAGCTGTCAGTGAGGCCCACCACTTGGCCACTGGGTCTGTGCCTACAGAAGAGGGAAAGAAGCCTGACCCTCGGCCACTCTGCATTTGGGCCTGGCAGGAGTCAGGACAGGGATCTGGAGCTCACCAGTGGTGGAAGCCATGCTGGAGCTGACGGAGAAGCTGCAGGCAGGAGCCCCGACGGCATCCGAACAGCTGTTCAGCAACTGCAGGTATCCAAGGGCGTCTGAGAACTCCCTGAGGCAGGAGAGAGCTGTCAGGACACATAGCGGCAGTCCCGGGGTTCTAGGTGACACTGGCTCCCCCCAACTGCCCGTCAGAGCACAGTCTGACCCTATGGCTCGCAAAATACCACGTGACAGAGGAGAGTAAGGGCTAGAAAGGCTTTGAGGACACACAAGAGGTCTGGCTGGCAAACAGCTAGGTCAGGGCTTTCCCCGAGTCCCCGCTGGAAGGAGGGTCTTGCCCGGGAGTACGCACCTGTCTCCATCGGCTGCCCCTGGGCTGGGTTGAGCGATACAGCTCAGCGCTCGCTCCAGAAGATGTTCGCAGAACAGTCTGGTCACCTGGGCCAGCGGATCCACTGTGAGTAGGGGTGAACAGAGCAGAGGTGAGGCATCACCACTCCATAGTTCCTTTCCCACATCAATGCCTTCGTAGGCTGGGGCCCCAACCCAGAGCCACTTCCTAGTTCCGAGTCCTAACAGACATGTAGACACTGGTGTGTAAGCACTTAGCCCCTTAGTTCCGAGTCCTAACAGACATGTAGACACTGATGTGTCAGCACTTAGCCCCTTAGTTCCGAGTCCTAACAGACATGTAGACACTGATGTGTAAGCACTTAGCCCCTGCCCTCTGAACAGGCTACTCTGCCGCTGCCCTGGGGAGGAAAATGGGTGCGCTGGGCAAGAGCTCCACACTGAAAAGGAGAGCCTACTCAGTCCCAGCTGCTGGCCCTGATCTCAGGGGCTCTTCCTGAGACCACAATGGTGTGGCCTGGCGTCTCCTCTCAAATCCACCCACACTGCCCACGGACCCATGCTGTTCCCTGCTTCTAAAGCCCGGCAAGCCTCCACCAGCTCCGGCCGCAGCCCCAGCCGCAGCGCAAAATGAGCTGGGTGGGTGAGGGCGTCCAGAGACGAGGGGACAGGGTCATGTGAGGTAGGGACAAGGCATAAAAACGGAATGAGAGAGCACCTGGGTTCCCAGCCACGCTGTACAGGCTCTCCTGTGGGGCACCATGCACAGCCCAGTCCCCGTCCACGAAGAAACGGTGGCCTACAGGGTGGCAGAGCCACTGCATGGCAAGAGGCACTGAGCCACTCTGTGCCAGGCAGGCCTGGCGAGCGCTACTCAGGAAGAAACGCTGTGGGGAAAGGAACAGGACTGTGACTCTGGCTCCCAGCTCAAACCCAGCCCTGAGATGGAGAACCCAGCTGGCCTACAGCCCACCTGCTAACCGCTGCCACATTTGGTTCATTCCCTGGCCCTGGAAGGGACAGATAAGAGCTGCAAAGACCAGCACCCAGCCCTGTCCCCTCAGCCCTCCTTACTGTCAAAAAGTGCAAGGCTCTTGGGAGACTGGTCTTGACCCTCAGGGCAGCAGCCACATAGATCTCTGCCAGCGTTGCCATGGATACAGCATCTCCTGCGCACTCAGCCAGGTTCAGGGCACTCAGGGCCAGGTTAGAAGCAACAAGGTGCCCTCCTGTGTATTTCCCTGCAAAAAGGCAAGCGTGAGGATGGGAGGTGAAGGGATGGGTAAGACCCAGCCATTCCCATGGTGTGAGGATGGGAGGTGAAGGGATGGGTAGGACCCAGCCATTCCCATGGTGTGAGGATGGGAGGTGAAGGGATAGGCAGGACCCAGCCATTCCCATGGTGTGAGGATGGGATGGGCAGGACCCAGCCATTCCCATGGTGTGAGGATGGGATGGGTAGGACCCAGCCATTCCCATGGTGTGAGGATGGGAGGTGAAGGCATGGGCAGGACCCAGCCATACCCATGGTATGAGGATGGGAGGTGAAGGGATGGGTAAAACCCCAGCCATTTCCATGGTGTGAGGATGGGATGGGCAGGACCCAGCCATTCCCATGGTGTGAGGATGGGAGGTGAAGGGATGGGCAGAACCCCAGCCTAGCTCCCACCTAGCCATACCCATGGCATGCAGCTGGTGCAGCTTATGGTAGACAAGAGCCGCATCTCGGGCACTGGCACGTGCATCCATCCTCAGCCCACAGTCTCTCCGCAGGCCCCCAGCCTGGCCTGCCAGCCAGCGGCCCACCCAGAGACGCTGCAGCAGGTGGCGGATGAGGTTCCAAAGC